CTCTCTCCACTCTCCCACTGGGATGTGTGCCTGGCCCAGGGGGCAAAGCCACGGCAGGGTTGTATTTCAGCACTGGCACAGGTTGGGTAAACTCTTGTTTGTCCTTGGTTTTCACTCTGTTGTGAAGTGTGTTTGTCCCTGGTTTTCACTCTGTTGTGAAGTGTGGAGATCTTGTCTTCAGCTTTCAGTTCGCTGGTCTGTCTTTAGTCTTGTCTTTTTTAACTTTTTTCTTTGAGTGACTTGACTGGGGATCGCTCAGAGGAGCAGAGGTGCCGGGAGGCAGTATAAGAAGGAAGGGGACTGGTATGTTCGTCCCTGTAGGATCAGGGACAGTAGCAGTGCCCATGCCGGTGAGAGTGGAGCTGTGATTTGGGAAGGGGCTGCAGGGACCCCTCTCTGTCCCTGCTCCAGAGACCAACCGTCCCTGGGAAGGAGCCACCAGCAGTCAGGCTGCAGCTCCTACCCAGATCTCGCACCGAAAGAGCCCAAATTAACTGAATAAGTGGTCACTGTGTTCAGCACCAAGTGCCAGAGAACCTGTTGCCAAGGCTGGAATTTCTCACTTGATCCGATTAACCTTTGTGTCCGTGCAAACAACCACATGTGTGTCACCAGCCAAACACTTTTGCCAGTTCTTCTCGGAGCATCTGGGCTGCGTGCGATGCAGAGTGCCCAATCCCACACAGAAAGTCCTGGAGGGCACCTCAGAAAGGACTGTCGGATCCTCATGTCCCGCGTGTTGATGGCATGGCCAGCAGTCCGGGCACACGGGAGATGCTACCCCGACCTCCGCTGTCCCTCTGGGCATGAGGACAGGCGGATGCTCAGGGCATCAACTGCGTTGAGTGAAGTGACGCAAATGTGATCTCCTGGGAGGAATGGGGGTGACGAGTCAAATCTGTGGTTTAAAAAAACCTGTGTCGGGGGGAGAGGAGCATTGAGCAAAGGTGAAGAAGGCACCAACTGGCACTTCCCTTAGTCACACTGCCAGCGCCTGGCTGAGCATCAGCATCGAGTCCCGACCAAGGTCTCAAGGCCATGGTGGTTTGGGGAATCACCTCCCAAGGGCCTGATGCTCTCGTTATGGAGGCTTGGAGGACTCCTTTTCCCCGGGGCCATGCGCAGCATCTTCTGACGCAGCCCCCGTACTCGGACATGTCTTTGCTTGTGCTTCGGGAGGGGAGGAAGGTGCTTGAAACCCAGCGGGAGCAGAGCCAGCGGCGCCGTGGGTTTCATCCTGGCACTGCCGAAATGGAGGGGTGTCCTGCTGCCCGTTTCCGTCAGGAGTGAGATTGGGCCTTCTGCGATAATTCCTGATGTTCATTATTTATAGAGAAGCCAAATTGAATTATTAATACGGAAAATTCAGATAACATTAACAATTCTTAGTTTATAACAGTTTCCCATTAATAAGGAAAATTGGAAATTTATCACTACATCTGTTCATTAAAACTCACTATTTTTTTCTTTCTTTTGGTGTCTTAAATGAAAGCAGAGAAATAAACGAAGAGGAAAGGCCATTTATTCGCTACTTCTCTGGGCAAAGTCAGCCCATAATTTTTAATAAAGTCTTTGCCGTTATATGTGGAGGAGAAACCAGCCTATAATGAAAGCAGCTTTTCAGCCATGTCTATGGCGTTGCTCGACCGTAGAACAAATGCTCAGAAACACATCACGTTTCTTCTCTTTGTGGGAACCTTTAAGCTGCATGATAGTTTTCTTATTTCCCTCCCTCCCCAGCAGCTCTCCTTGCTTTCAGCATGTGTTGCTCCCGGCTCCGAGGAGTGAATTTTAACGCCTCCCCTGCTTCTTTCAGAGATGGCGGATTCCTATGCCTGTAAAGGTGGAAGGAAAACTGCAGGCTCTCACAAACCCACTGCCAGCAAAGAAAGCAGGACGGAGACAAGGATAAACCCACCGGCAGAGCTGCCCAAGCTCGGTAAGGAATTCTTTCCCCGGAGGTGGATGGGGCAGAGGGTACGAGCCCAGCAACAGGGGCTGGGGGGGGCTGCCAAAACGTGGAGGTGGGAGTGCATCGGGTTTCAGCATGCCTCTGCTCCTCGCTTCAACCCACCGGCAAGGTCTGTGCTGGGCCAAAAAAGCCCCAGGCCCTCAGAGCTGCAGAGAGCCGGTCCCTGGGAACGGGAGGGGAGGGATGGAGACAGCCTCTCCCTTTCGAGGGGCGTGCGTCGGGCTTAATGAGATGGGTGTCTCACCGCCTATTTATCGTGTTGGTAGCTAAGTGTTACATCAAACGATGGAAAGGCTTAAATGAGTTCAGACCATCTGCTGTCTCCCGTGTCGCGGCCCCCGGGATGGAGGCTTGCGAGCGTACGAGCCCCGGGGGACCCGCTTGCTAAGGGCTGTCACTCTGATGGATAGCTGATTTCTCTATCCAGGAACCTCCAGGCCCAAGGAGATATTTTTTTTTCTCCTGTCTGCTTATGCCGGGCAGATCCCCTCTGCGGACACAGAGAGGCTCTCGCTGCCTTTACCTTGCTAGCGGCAGCCCTGGATACCGAGGGATGCCTGCACCCAGGGTGAGGGTCGAACCCCAGAGATGTACCTTAGATCAGGGACCCAAAATCAGTGGCCTCTCAGGGAAATGCTTGTGCCCTAAATGTTTCCCAAATGCCATGCTTCCCTTGAGGCGGTTGAAGCCGTAATTGCTAGCAGAGGGGTGTAACTTAGTGCTGAGGGGAATGAACTCCAGCTGTCCGTACTATGAACATACGTGCGTATACCTTGCTGCAAATCCTGTATGATTTGGTGTTTTTTCATAAACTCCCAGCTCGTGGAGTCCCTTGATGTGCAAGAAACGTTGCTGCGTTTCATGTGTAGCGAGGCCCTTGCTTACATGTCTGTGGAGGAAAAACCTGGTCTAAGTGTGCACTTAGAGAACTGGAGAAACTACAAAATGCAGAGGGCAGCTGCGATGCGCAGACATCCTTCTCGGGCACTCACTGAGGATTTTGAAATGAAGCCTGTACTGTTGCTCCAGAACTAGCATGGTTTGGGGCTGTGCTTCCAAACCCTCCCTTCTCCTTAGGGCCGTGAGCCATTTAGGGGCAGGAGCGAGGCAGGTAGGAGTCCAAACTGAACGGGGTGGTTTTGGGACAGCTTAGAGGCTACCTTGCAAGGCGAGGGGCAGGTAAGTGGCTTTTTAGGGACTTTTTCTTATAGTCCATAAAGGTCACCACGTCCTGCAGATGAAGCCTTCTGGGCTAGGGGGATTCCCAAAGGATGCTACATCACCAAGGGATGCTTTTACAGGTATCAAAGTGGAGCAAACCAGCTGGAGTGACTTCAGGAGACTGGAAATAGATGAGCCAGCTGTCTTGTTTGCTATTTTACCCCTGGCTGCTGGGGCAGAAGGCATGAAAAGGGAGAGAGTGTGTGGTTTTGGCAGTGCCTTGTAGGTAACTGGTTGGCTTTCTGTTTGATCTCTCTCCCTTGTTCCAAAAAAAAAATCCTGGATTGACTTCCGAGTACAGCCAGTGCCAGGCTTGGAGCTGAGCTCTGGTTTCTCAGGAGCTGGAAGGATTGCTGGCTCAGCTTGCAGCCTTTTCTTCTTACCTGGTTTTCACCAGACAAGAGTGTTTTACAGGTTGTTTAGAGTTTTTTAAATCTCATTTATCCTCTCCTAGCTGTTCTGGGGTTTCCTTCTCAGGGATGCTTTTTGGCTTGTTTCTGTTCTCATAGCAAATGGCTTTTATTCCCAGTCCTATTGATTAAGCCCTCTTAGATCTCAGCCCGAATTTCTGTACACCGTTGGCCACTTGGATCTGTCCAGCTTGTCTGTGGGTTACACTGACTGCCAGTATCACTTAAAGTTACGGGTTAGCCCTCAAAATGCAGCCTAAGGCCTGTTTGGGGCACAAAGCTGTGGGGGGATGGCGCTGGGCGATGGAAGCAGGGTATTGCCTGGCTCCCCAGACCTTTGGGGTGACGAGGGTGCTCTGATCCTGCTCGGAGAGATTGAAGGTTGGATGTGAAAGTGGATTGATTTGGTGAACTGCCCTCAGCCCCTGCATACAAACGCTGGTAAAATTTGTGGTGTTTGTACTGCTTTGCTTAATCCATTTTGGGTTTGAAATCAAGGAGTTTGCTGCCGTTGTGAGCTGAAGTATCCGGTCTGGGGCCATCCCCATCCCTGCTGCTCTCCGTGTGCTCATCGCATTACCTGGGCCAGTGTCCTCCTGTAGCCCTGGGGTTGCTCAGCCGCACTGGCCGTGCAAAGGGGATGGGGCATTTCTGTCCTTGACAGCCTGCCCGGGGCCCAGCGTGCTGACCTAGATGCAGATTTCTTTTGCTAAGTAGCATAGTTGTTGAAGGATTTCTTCCAACCCAAAGGCAAGAGTGGTTTTCCAAAGCAAGCCCCAGCTGGGCTGGATCTGCTCTGTGTAAATGAAAGGAGGGGGGGTCAGCAAACACCAGGAGAAGCAGCCGTCACCTGTGTGGGTATCTGCAGGTGTAGGGGCTGTGCACTGAATTGCAGGGGAGCTGGCATTGCCTTCCAAAGGAGAATCTCTGGCTTTGCCAGGGCTGGGGCATGGCAGCCTAGAGATGAGGTGGACTCCACGCAGAGCGAGGGAGCCAGCCGGGCAGCAGGATTGCCGGGACGGCGGCTCCTCCGGCACGGCTGGCTGGACAGTGGGAGACGTGTGCTGCATCTGTTGGCAGGAAATGCAACCAGTGACAAAACCGAAGGCAGGAAGAAAGGACGACCCAAGGCTGAGAACCAGGCGCTGAAAGACATCCCCGTAAGACCCTGCGCGCTCTGATCCCTGATACCCTCCCTGCCTTGCTCCCTTTGACTTTCTCTTTGCATCCTGCTGCACGGCACACTTCAGCCAGCCCCACTCCAGGCTTAAACCTGCCTTCCCGCTGGTTTAATCTTCAGAGCAGCCTTGTCTTGGGCTCGACATTTTTGGCCCCTGAATCTCCTCCACGCCAGCACCCAGCATCCTCCAAAACCCTGGTGGGGTACAGTATCCCCCTCCAGACTCCCTTTTCCGGGGCCGTTCCCAGATGAGCTGGATTCTCTCGCAGCCACGTCAGGTTTGGCTAATGATCCGGCAGCACCGTCGAGGGGGTGATTTATTCCCCACAGAGTTGTGCAGTTTAATTCCAGCACGGTAGCGTGGACAACACACAGAGCAGTTTGTCATGAGAGCATGGGCATGGGGTGATTTACTGACTAGATGAAATGTGGGGTGGTTAAATCACCCAGCCGACTTCTGGCCTGATTTATTACCCAGCCTGGCTGGGAGCGTGCATGTGCTCTGGGAGGCACAGCAAGGTAAATTCTCGGGAGGAATCATTAGCCTGTAGAGCCTGCAGTATCTGTCCCAGCACCTCTTGCTAGTGGGGTTACCTGCTGCACTGAAACACAGCCCTGGGGTCAACTTTGCAACTGCGCAGTGGGAAGGGGTGGACAGGAACGATCAGAGATCCCGTGTGCCCCCCTGACCCCCTTGGGATGCACCAACACACAACCAGACATGCGGTGCTCTTTGCTCAGCTGTGTCTTTTGTCTCTCCTGTTCTCAGCTCCCTTTGATGAACCAGTGGAAGGATGAATTCAAAGCCCACTCCAGGGTGAAATGTCCCAATTCAGGCTGCTGGCTGGAGTTCCCCAGCATTTATGGCTTGAAGTACCATTATCAGCGCTGCCAAGGGGTAAGGAGACCAGAGGGCTGTCTGTCCTTTCTAGTGGCCAGCTCTTACATTGCCATCTACAGGGTAGAGCCCCTCTCAGGCCTTAAAACCCATGAGAAACTTGAGATTAAAATGGAGAGTGGACTTAGATGGACTAGGGGCTGTTCGTGAGGTGTGTGTGAGAGGAACTGGGTTCCCTCCAGTTCAGTGTGAGGTCTGGCCTGGGGGGATCATGGACCATTAGAGGGGCAGAAGGGTATTACACACGATTTGTGTTCATGCCTGCATCAGAAAAAGCCTGTCCCTTTGATGGTCTAATGTCCTTGCTCTCCTGTGTCCCCCTGCTTCACACAGGGCGCAATCTCAGAGAAGCTGACGTATTCATGCTCATACTGCGAAGCTGCCTTCACCTCCAAAACCCAGCTAGAAAAGCATCGGCTCTGGAATCACCTGGACCGGCCCGTGCCAACCAGCAAAGCAGAAAACAAAGTGCCAAAGGCCATTGGGAAGAGCAGTGGCAAGAAAAGGTATCGGGCTGTGGCTGGGCTGCGCGGTGGTGGCATAGGGACGGCTGGGAGAAGGGGAAGGTGCCCGCCTCCATTCCCATGATCTGGGCTGGCGAGGGGGGAGAGGTGTCAGGACGTTTGTCTAACAATCCCTCTTTAAACAAGCCCTCTGTGCTTTGCCCTAGAGCTGCTGAGAGTTCAGCTTGCCCCACCATCCATCCCAAACAGGCAAAGACGGAAAAAGCCGTGGCCCAGGACCACGCCGAGAATGGCGAGTGCCTGGCAGAGAGCCGGGAGAGCAAGGAGTTTCAGATCGCAGCAGCCGAGGCAATGGCAGCCGCCACCCCCACGGCAAAGTCCTCGAGCGGCAAGGATGCCATGCAGCAGGGGGGCAGCCAGGCCTCGCTGCAGGAGGAAGACCCCGAGAGGATGAAGCACAGTAAGATTAGAGCCCGGGGCTACGCTGGTTCAGGAGCCCAGAGAGGGGTGTCCCGTGGGAAGGGGCTCTGCTCCAGTCAACGCTGCTGCAAGTGTCTCTCTGAATCTAGCCGTGTTTCAACATCCTGATAATTTGCACACCCACACCCCCAGTTTCTTGCAGCAGTGAGTTCCACCGGGAGTTAAAAAACAGTTGTAGCTGTGGTAGAGGTATTTCCGTAGGACCTGTAGGATCAGAAATGGATTGAATTCCCTGCAGCACAGCAAGCTGCCGTGTCAGCCTGTCTGCCCTCACGGAGTGTGGCAGTTAAAACCAGGGTGGTTCTGGCAAACCCATTTTCCTGAAGTGTTGGGACAGGGTAAGGAGGCTCACTGTGCCCGTTACCACTGCAGGGCTGGCAGGCAGGGCCATGGTTGTCCCCATCGTGGCGTGGGTTTACACCGCTTGCAACACCAAAGTGAACCACCACCTTGGCTGCTGAGGCTGTGGAAACCACGTGGCTTTTGGCACTGGACACAGCCACCACTTCCACTCGTTGAATGAGCCCTGGATACCATTATTTCTCCTGGCTTTGTGGGGTGGGAAGCAGCATCCTGATACTGTTTGGTGGGTGGGTGCTTCATTCGACAGCCCCTCTATTTCACAGTGGTAAAGGCCTCCTCAAGGTGATCCACTCCTGACATGGAGTTTGTACCCACCCCGTGCCCTGGGATTGCTGAAGCCCCCCTGGCAGTACAGTTATTTGACCAAATCTCTCTCTCTGTTTCTCTCTTTTGAGTCAGGAAGGAAACAAAAAACTCCTAAGAAATTTACGGGGGAGCAGCCGTCCATCTCGGGGACATTTGGACTGAAAGGTAATACGGAGACAGCTCTGGTCAGCTGTAGGGTTGTAGCTTCCCCCTGGGACATTGGGAAGCCCCTTCCCCAAGAGCCCTCCCTGTGGTGGAGATATGTGACAGCCACCCAGAGCCTGGGGATATCATGCTAGAGGAGCTGGTGCCTTTTACCATAAGAGTGTCGTAAAGGGAATGAAAGGCAGCAGCAGAGCTGGCATTGATAACCCTGTCTGCTCTGCTTGGGAGCCTGTCGTGGGGAAATGAGGGAAGAGAGGAAAGGATGTGGGTACGTCCAGCTGTAACACAAGAGTCACGAGCTGCTGACACAGGTGAGACAAGAGAAACGTCATCTCATCATCATCCTACTGTCCTGGGATGTCACGGTGTTTCCAATGGCGTCAAGAAGAATTTGTGCTGCGTAGAAAGGCTGGGTGACGCATCCGTCCCTCAGACATTGTCTCCAGTGCTGGTCGCCCACATTCAAGAAAATGAATTCAAGGGGGAAGAGACAAGTTACCAGGATGTTTTCTGAGAGGCGGCTCAGGAGTTGGCTGCTTCAGCCTGACAAAGCAAGAGCGAGTGGGACTGGTCGTGCTCCATAAATACACCTGACTGGGCTGGACAGGATGGAGGAAACCTGGAGCATCCCTGACACAAGAACAGCTGGATTTGGACTGGCTATGAAATTCATTCAACTAGGGAAATACAAAGCAGATTTCCAGGCACTGCAGGAGGCAGCACCTTCCAGTACAAGAAGCACTCAGGGGAGAGACACTAAAGGCTTTGAAGGAATTAAACACTTATGAAAGAGCAGGCTGGATGTGGTCTCTGCGATTTACTGTCCCCTGGCTCCTGGGAAGTCTGGGGTTGTTTCTCTTAACTTCCCCACAGAGGCACTGCCATAGACTGAAACATCTGCTGTAGATTCCTTGAGAATAAGCTGGTCCCCCAAGTGACGCGCTGCCTCGAATGGGGAGTGAAGATCGTGCATGCGTTTCCCTCCATCCCCCGGATCCAAAGTGGCACTTTGCTCCCCGAAGACGGGTTCCGCCGGCCTGTCATGGGGTGCTGTCTCCATTCAGACCCTGGGTTTGCGAGAGCCGCGACCCACAAATTCGGGGACGTGTGGACTCCTGCAGGGCGGGTATGGATCTGACTCTGGCACTCACTGTGTCGCCTCCAGCACCTTCTGTGGAAGCGCAGGCACAGGGCTGAACTGCACGTGGATTTGCGGGGGTGGACCCAGGGTGGAGCGGTGGAGCCTCCCTCCTCTCTTCACTAACCTTTCCAAAGCATCGTTTGCAAGTTGTGTTTGAGCTGCTGAGGGATTCTGCGTAGCAGAGGGGTATCGGGCAGCACTGTCGCTGCCAGCATGCCCTCAGCATGTGCTGAGCCTCCTTTTGCTCACTTGGCCCTGCTCGGTGCAGGGAGGATTCTTCGGTGATTGGCAGTGATGCCTTTAGCAGGCTGAATGGGGAGCACATGCTTTGCCCGTGCAGCCGTGTGGGGACGAGGCACAGACAAGGTGGGAGGGTGGATGCACTCGGGAGATGCTGGCTGAGAGCCTGGCGCTCTGCCTGCGCGGAAAGCGCTGCCTTTGAGTTCCTCTCCGCTTCGCAGGCAGGCTTGGTGACAGTCACCAGCAACCCAGGAGGGCTGCACCAGGTTTCCTCTTCCCCATGCGTCTGTTGCTCAGTCACCCCTCCTCTTCTGTTTCTTCCTGATCCTTCCCAGCACCCGGTGGGACCAGGAGAGACCTATGTTTACTGTGACAATTGTCTACAGGTCCAGAGACAAAAGGTCCTGTGGGATCTGGTGTGAGATCCCAGAATTTGCCCTGTTTTCTAAGAGGGACCCCAATTCCTTGGTCTAAGCAGTTAGACAGCCTTTCCAGTGCAGGTTTACCAGCAGGAGCATCGTTTTTATATCCTGAATTTGCTGTTCGAGTTTCCCCTTTTAGTTTCTTGCGAAATGCTCTTTTACCTCTTCCCCAGCCTGTCTTCCCCACAGTCTGCCTTGCCAGAAGCATCCTACCCCACTTTGCTGTGGTGTTTCCATAGTTCAGAAACTGTCTGGGTTGGGGGAAATGATTCTGTTTACAAAATACCACAAGCTGTTATGATATTGCTTGTCATAATTATGGACTTGATCCTACATATGCAGCCTTGGCAGACCTACAGCCAACTCAGGGCAGAGGTAGAGACTTTTTACCTGCTAAATGCAAGTTGTTCTGAGGGTGTTAAAGCAAGTACCAAATAAAAATCCCCTCCCTCTACAGGTCTCGTTAAAGCAGAGGACAAGGCAAAAGCCCATCGAGCCAAGAAACTGGAGGGGAGCACGAACACGGAGGAGCTGAAAAAGAAACCCCCAGGAGCTGGTGTGAAGAAGGAAACGGCTGTGCATCTTCCAGCAGGTGAGGCTGGTGGAGGCAAAGCACACGCAGCAGCTCTGCGTGCAGCTTCGCTGCGTATTAGCTCAGTCCAGTGCTCTGCTCCGAGCCTGCACGGTCCCCACCTTCACTCACAGCTAGTGGTCCCCGCACTCCTCCTCGCCCAGTGGGCTGTTTGCTGGGTGACTTTTCTAGCAGATTTGTCAGCAAAAGCAGCCCAAAATCAAAAGTAGGAGAATGCAGCTCCTGCCCTTTTGAGGTTTATCACAGGTGTGGGGACAGCCACTGCTCCTAAAATAGTGGTGTAGCCACAACTGACATCCTGAAAGGGGTATTTTACCTTTGCTTCACTGCCAGGACAGACGGCTGCAAGTGTTGGGAGATGGTAGCCAAATCCTGGTTCCACCTGGCTTCAGTGTGACCGCAGTTGGGGTCAGTGTTTGGGATGATGGCATTTTTGTGACATCATCTCCATGAATGACACCAGTGCATTAACTTTGGGCATAATTATGTCTTCTCAGAGGTGCAGCCTACACCCTAGTGCAGGTTGCTGCCTTTCCTTGGGAGCTCTGACAGCAGGAGGAATGCAGGAGGTGAAAAACAAACACAGCTGCAGTGCCTTACACTGCTTTCAAAGTCAAATAAATGACACTCTGATCTCACAGCCGTGCAAAAGCATCCAAATAAACAGATTTGGCGGATTTTATTCAGACTGGGCTTCCCTTGCTGGAAGCCCAGCGCTGTTCTGCTGAGAACACGGTATGAACTTTGGACCTGGGAGCAGGTTTTGGCCCCAGTATCTCTTATTTCGTTTTTTTTTTTTTAAGCCGGTCACAGCCATTCAAATAAACAGATGCTGGGAGCTAGCACTCCCATAGCTGCCTGTGTGTCTGCCGGGAAGAGGAGTGCCAGGGAAGCTTTCCAGGCACACGTCCGGATGGAGCCTAGACGCTCACCTTTGTTTCACTCCCGCTAATTGTTTTGTTTGGCAGGGGGTAGTTACTCCACGAAGGGCAAGGTGAGGTGGCCGAGGGCAGCATCATGTTTTAACTCCTAGTATGCGGGATGCCAGCGGGGTTGGAAAGGTGAACCTCCTTTTCCCCGTGAAATGCCGACAGGTTGGGAAACTCCACGTAAAGTGGCCCAGTGACCCAGTTTGCTCAGGCAGCTGCAGAAGGTGTGGGGCAGACAGAGCTGTAAGTGCCTGCATGGTTTGCACCTGGCTTGGCCTATGCCTGGGAGACTATTTCTCTTTTTTTTTTTTAACACCAGGAACTTTTTCCAGTTGAGTGCTTTTCAGCCTAACAAACCAAAGCTTACGACAGGGCTGTCCTCTGCCGAGCAGCCCAGGCAGGTTGCGGTGTCTGTGCCTGGGTGTAACACCTCTCTCCTCTCCCTCGCCAGCAAACCCCGAGGACCAGTGGCAGCGAGAGATCAGCGAGAAGGGTGAAGTCGCCTGTCCAACCTGTGGCGTTATAACCAGGAAAACTGTTGTGGGGCTCAAAAAGCACATGGATGTCTGCCAGAAAGTAAGGACTTGCTTGATTCAATCGTGCACATACGGATTTTGGAGAGGAATGGATGTGTACACGTGCTACACTAAATGCATATTGGTGCTCCTAAAACCAGTTCTGGGCTGTGATTGATAGGGAACTTGCTAGTCATCTTCAGAGCTGGCTGCCTCGCATCGATTCAGAGGGATTTGGACACCTAATTCCCAGCGATTCTGCATCCCTTTGTGGTACGGGCCACTTGCCCCAGTGTCTCCAGCAGAGTTGGGTATTTCTAGTAGCTAAACAAATGGTTTTAAGGCTGGGGAGTTGGGGTTGTCTCTAATCTGGCCTCCTCCGGAGTACTGGCTGTGGGATTTTGCTGTGTGCCATGCCTTGCATCAGGCCAGATAAATTGTGGTTGAATGAGAGCACGTCTCGGGCAGGCACCGAGCTTGGATGTGCTCAGGCAGGCTGTCAAGACGCAGGAGTTCAGTAGTGGTGCAGTGAAAAATTGTCTCTCTGCCACACGGCCATCCATCAGAGCACAGGATTACGTCTTCATCCGTCACCTGGCGCGGTGCAGAGCCATTGCCACAAAAAGCCAACGTGGGATCGATGCCTCCTGCTTTGAAAATATGTGGCTCGGCTTTGATTCCACATTCATTTTCTGTAAATGCCTCCTCAGCCTTTGCCTCACTATTTATACAGCAGTGGGAGGCTGCCCTGTACGACATCAATGCCGGGCAGAGTCCCGCTCCTCTGACATCCTCCTGGCTTCAGTGGAGTGAGGATCTTGGCCATCGTTGCTCATATCTCCTGTGCTTTGGAGCATCTCCCAATCCAGGCAGGCTCCACGCATGCTGCACGGCCGGCCAGCCTGCTGAGCGTGACTCTGCCAGAGGATTCAGGCCTCTCTTCCTCACTAGAAATAGGCCAGTGGATGTTCAGCCGAGGAATCGGGGTACTCCAGCCCAACAAGCGGGTGCTTTGTCACCCTTCCCTGGTAGGGACAGTCCTTGCCAGGGCTGACTCTGCCGCTCCAGGAGCTGGGCTACTTTGCAGCATCCCTACCAGAGCAGCCTGTGGCCCTGGGAGGACAATCCCCAAGCTCTGAGTGCATGACCACAGGCCCAGCTCTCAACATTTCATCTCTGAGACGAACCTATGACGTGTCCTTAGCGAGGGCCCGCTGCTACAGGCACAGGGTTTCCCCATCAGACGTGCCCCCGGAGTGCAGGCACCCTCTCTGCTTGCTCTCTGCTTTAATGACTGAAGTATTTCTTAGCTGGACAATGAGAAAAGGCTATGCATGCTCCCAAAACTCTTATAAAACAACAGAAATTGTTTTCTCCATCCCTTGCTTGTCACTAAGCAGTGTGCCCTGTGTCCTCTGGTTTTGGAAAGGAAATAAGGGATGGGGACAGTTGCAACATGCTTGGGCCTGAAGGAGATGAGGGCAGGTGTATCCTCCTGGCGTGTCAGGTAGGAGGGCTTGTTAGAACATGGAGATGGCATGTTCTTCAGTGTTAACTCGAGGAATAGAGCTCAAATTGGCTGGCATTGGTGTCTGATGAGTCAAGGAGCTTTTAGCATCCGACTTGTTAGGGTCAAGTGCTTGGGGTCTGGAACAGGATTGACTGATGGGAGCACAGGTACAAGTGAGACATTCCCAAACAGCTGCAGTGAGTTTATTCATTTCCCCAGAGCTCCAGGATGAGAAGGGATTTGCAGCTCTGTCTTCATTCCCTCTCCAGCTTCCAGTCCAGGCTTGATTGAAGGGGAAGTGATGAAGGTGGGGCATCAGCCAGGCAGGAGGAGCAGGAACGGCCACAGCCATCCAGGCACTATCTCCCTGTTGAGACATCCTGTCTCTTGGTGCCCAGACCATTCACCTCCTGAGTCAATAAATTCCGGTACCTGCCGCAGCAAAAGTTACGATTTGCTTACTCACTTTGCAAGTTCCTCTTGTACATCGGCGTGTGCATTTAATGCATCCCCTCCTGTCACTCGGGAGGGCAAGTCGGGTCAAACAGCAGAGCAGTATGAGGCGGGAAGTAGTCTGCTGTGATCGTGTCCAGCACTGTCTTAATTCCAACCAGCCCCGGCACCCACAAAACGTATCATACGCCAGCATCTGTCATAGTTAATAGGGCCGCAGAGCACAGTCCACTAACATATTGGTAGATCAAAGCTTCTTCTCTTTCCTAACCCTTTAACAGGAAGACTAAGACACCAGGTCCAGATGTTTCCAACCAGTGGGGCCTTAAATCTACATCCAAAATGGAATGTTTGCCAAAAGTTGGGGCATGTGTGTTTGATAACAGTATCCAGGACAACAGAGAGAAAACTCTGAGCTGCAGGCTGGGATTGGGATGGGGGACAGGGATGCTGTGTTGCCTGCTGGATCCCACCACTGGGTACTGCTGCAGCAACAGCTCCCCATGGGGCTTATTGATGAGCAGCAGCAGCCATTGGAAAAATGAACGGTGACCCGTGGCCTCCCTGGTGACTTGCCTCTAATTCCTTCAGCTGCAGGATGCCCTGAAGTGTCAGCACTGCAAAAAACAGTTCAAGTCCAAAGCTGGGCTGAATTACCACACCATGGCTGAACACGTCAGCAAGGTAAGATAGCTCGGCTGCTCTCGTCTCACGCCTCGTTTCTTGATGCAGAAGATTGAGCAGTCGGCAGTCCGCTTTCCTTTGGCTTTGCAAAGGAGGGATTCACAACACCGTCTTTGCAGCGTTTCGCATACTGCTCGGTCCAGGCGGTAGCCTTCCCCCTTCCCTGCCGAGCAAAGCCCTTCTGTCCCAGGCAGCTGGTTAGGCTCATGTTGATCCCTGGGAGTAGAGCAGAGGACCGGAAAAATAAAAAACGATTTCAAATCTCAGAACGGCAGAAGATTCGGTGAGTACGGTGAGGCAGATTTTGGGTGGCAAAGCTCTGCCTCCAAAACTGTGCCCGCAAATCTGGGACTGATGGGTTCTGCCTTGCACGAATCTCAAAATCCAGTCTTCGTCTCTCCACCGTGCGTGTGAGAAGTAGCCACAAAATTTACCGTGAAGAAGATCTGGCAAGCACCAGTTTAGGTGCTGTTCTTAAAAATGCAGTCACACGTGTCTCCGAGATACCAGGGCAAGGCATAACCGCATTTCTCCATGTCCCATGCTTACCAGTTGTGACTTGTCTTTTACCTGTGCGTTAATCTCCTGCTCTTCAGTCTGGCTGGTGAATCCTCTATACAGGAACTGCTCCTGGGTTTCTCAGCTGGCCCTTTGGGTGCAAACACAGGAAAGGTATGAGCAGATCTGGCACGTAACGGTGAAGGCATTGGCATGCAGTAAAGCAGTGGGAGATCGAGCTCTTCTAACGAGAGGTTCTCCCCGACCAAGGGCAGCTCCTGCGAGGCAGAGGTTTACCACCTACTCCTGGCACAGAGGACATGAGTAAATGTTTGACTCTGTCGCTTCTGTTACTTCCTTGTTTCCAG